GTGATTTTAGCACTAGCATCACAGCACCGTTCCCTGCTGTCAATGACCACAGTTGCAGGAGGCAAAGATTTCACCCAGAACACTCAATCCACTCGTCTGACCTGTCTCTGTGCTATCAAAAGCCACAGTTTTCAAAATACTCGTTGTTGTCTCAAAGTCTGTTGTGATCCTGCAGTAACACCCTGTCCACCCAGGCTGTTAATGGAATAGTTATATAGCTTAAGCATTAACAACTATTAATTATGCTAAACCAGGGAAAACAGAAAACAAAAGTCACATGGTACTTAGGAGTGAATGACTGTGACGTATCAAGTTTATTTTAGCTGACATTAAAGATGTACATACTTTCTGTTTGGTTCACATTCACCTACTGGGGCCAAAACTTGATAGCTGGTGAGTTTATTAGGACTTTTCTTTAGACAGCTTTCTCCTTATGTCATCACAGAAGTACTTTTTAATATATATTTTTGTGTTTTGGATTGTCACATGAATTAAGCACAGAATAAACATTTATCATTCCTCTAGTAAAGTAATTTGAATTGCACTTTAAACTCCGAAAACTTTTTAAAATTGCATATCATTAAACTTTTCCTATTTGGAACAGTTTCTTTTATCACTGCTTACTTTTTAGAGAGAATACATCTGGCACATGAATCCAACTGACATAAGCCTTGAAGTGACTTCCTCCTTTGCTTCCCTGTTGCTCTTCAGTGTTAAGGTTCATCCTATTGCAGGAATAAAAACACAGTGGAGAAGGTTATAGTAAGTGGATTTGGGAATAAAACCAAGTGCTAATATGCAGTAGTGCAGTTCCGTGTCCCTTTTACTTCTCAGAATCTCTGATTCTTTCCATCCGAATTATATTTTCTGGGAAATGTGGTGCTATAAAACTTTGAGAGATAATAAATTCACTTCGTCTCCTATAAACAGAAATATTGTTCATTCTGTTACACTGTGACAAGATTTTTTTTTAAAGCAAATTTACGTCTTTGAATTTCTGGAAGGATAGCTAATATTTTTCTATCAGACGTTCATCTGATTATCTCCAGGCTTTGCTTTCAGAATCGAGCGAGTCAGCAGTGTGTCGTGGGCTGTAATATTTATGAGGAAAAGCAACTACCAAGACATGGCTTTAGTGAGCTGACGTTAGAATAATGCTATGGAGCAGAGCGTGTGTGTGTATGTGCGCGGTTAACATGCTGATGTGGGACTCAGGAGTCAGATTACATTCCTAACAGAAACTTCCTGTGTCATTTAAAACAAGTTACTTACTCTTACTGTGTTTCTCATTTCTCCTGCTCTCTTTTAAATAGAAATATCCCTTCACTTCATAGAGATCCTATGAAAATAGGTACACTACAACCCTCGGGACAATTGTAAGCAGAGCAGTTCGGTGCCTTATTGGGTAGTATTTAGTGTAATCAGTCTCAAACCTACCTCCCTTCTTGGTCAAGTGGAAAAAAAAAAAAAAAAAAGAGAGAATTTGAGGCAGCTCCTTCTTCAGAGGTGGTGAGCAGTGTATCTGCTGCATGTACAGTGAGCTCTAGCAAGGAGTATATCCCCGTGGAATTTCTGATTTTGTAGAGTTGGGGGGAGGCGGAGAGGGGGAGAAAATGCTGCATCAGGTCATGGATGAGAAAAGAAGATTGTTGTATATCTGCAGAAAATGCCAGATGTGAGACAAAGGTCCACATGAAACCTGTCGGCTCTGATATCTGCTTGAGGGCAGGAAGGCTCTGCAGGGGGATCTGGACAGGCTGGATAATGAGCCGAGGCCACTTGTATGAGATTCAACGAGGCTCAGCGCCGGGCCCAGCACTTGGGTCACAACCACCCCACACAACGCTACAGGCATGGGGAGCAGTGGCTGGAAAGCTGCCCGGTGGAAAAGGACCTGGGGGCAAGAGCAGCTGAACAGGAGCTGGCATGTGCCCAGGTGGCCAAGAAGGCCAACAGCATCCTGGCTGGTATCAGCAACGGTGTGGCCAGCAGGACCAGGGACGTGATCGTCCCCTGTACTCGGCACTGGTGAGACCACACCTCGAATCCTGTGTTCAGTGTTGGGCCCCTCACCACAAGAAAGACCTTGAGGTGCTGGAGCGTGTCCAGAGAAGGGCAACGGAGCTGGGGAAGGGTCTGGAGGGAGCTGGGGGGGTTTAGTCTGGAGAAGAGGAGGCTGAGAGGAGACCTCATCACTCTCTACAGCTGCCTGAAAGGAGGGGGCAGGGAGGGGGGTGCTGGGCTCTGCTCTAAAGTAACAAGTGATAGGACAAGAGGAAACGGCCTCAAGTTGTGCCAGGGGAGGTTTACATTGGATATTAGGAAAAATTTCTTCACTAAAAAGGTTGTCAAGCACTTGAACAGCCTGCCCCGGGAAGGGGTTGAGTCACCATCTACACGTATTTAAAAGACATGTAGATGTGACGCTTAGGGACATGGTGGACTTGTCAGTGTTAGATTAATGGTTGAATTCGATGATCTTAAGGGTCTTTTCCAACCTAAATGAGTCTATGATTCTGTGATAACTTGAGAAGTTGTTTTACTCTCCTCTAACTTATGTGAATGGTCATTTTTTCATTGCTGTTTAAAACCAAATGCAGGAACAAACGCAAACCCTTCTGTGCTTCTTTTTCCGTTACAGAAACAGGAGGTGTGTGGAAACCTAACATTACAGCATCACATGCTTGAACCAGTGCAAAGGATTCCTCGTTATGAGCTTCTCCTAAAGGACTATTTGAAGAAACTTCCAGAAGAGTCTCCAGACAGGAAAGATGCTGAAAGTACATGTAAACTCCTCTCTGTGTAATGAGCACAACAAAATCTTGGAGAGTTTTTTCTTCACATGTTCAGATACTTCCAACTAGGGCTATAGTAGAAACAGACATTTGAATTAATCAAATTATTGCCAAACATAGCACAAAGGGATTTTGAATACTCTTGGAGTAAAGAAAATGTTTGATATGTCAGCTCTAGGAATGAAGGGAGCTTTGACAAATAAACAATGACAAAATATTGAGATTTGTGATGGCAGAACACCTGGCATTTTTGCTTAATCCATTGTATGGCCAAGGACAAATACAGGAGGACATCCTTGCAATAGCCGGAGGAAGAAAGTAAGAATGTTTCCCTAGGAAGGCGGGCTAGACTGTTAACACAAGGAACAAGAGAAATGGACTTCGGTTGGTTGTTTTCTAGGAGTTTGTGATCTTTACCAAAACAGGGTTCACCTCACTGTAAGTACACAAGCCCTGTTTTAGGAAAACACTTTTGAAAACACACTTGTGAAGACTTAAGTTAACTTTTAGTAGGTTGATTCCTAGAAGGTGATTTTTTTTTTTTTTGGTCACTGTGTGCTTTGGCTCACCTAGCCTTTTAGGAGAGAAAGATTAAATTTTTAGATGCACATGGACCAGCCGAACACACAGAAGTGATCATGTATATAACTGCCTACAATATACATATATACAATATACATATATATGCTTACGATATACATATATATATAATTACATATAAGCAAGGACTGTATTTTGCAGGAAAAACACTAATGAGGGAGGTGAAAAAAGACCCCAAGGTGCTATTAACAGATATAATCTGGAGAATGCATAACTGTTGCTACCTTTATTGCAGAATCCCTGGAGCTCATATCTACAGCAGCGAACCATTCGAATGCAGCCATCAGAAAGATGGTGAGTAGAAAATGTGTAATGGAATTGTAATCTGACTGAAATGCTTGGTTGAAGCAATGGTCCCCCATCACAATAGGCTCACTAAAGTAGGCTGGGGAGAATTTTCACATACAGTTGAGTCAGGCTTTAAACATCATTGGGTATCTGAGTTCTCTTTATCATAAATGATCCTATTGCAGTGACCATGGTTTGTTGGGCCTAAATTTAACTTTCCTTGTTCTCAAGGACCCAATGGGTTGAAAAAGGTGGTCTTCATAAAACCCTTTATTTGTTTTCATTGAAAAATGTTGAAAGTATTCCAGTTAGGTCCATTCATAAGGTGTCCTTTCAAATTTTCACACTATTTTTTTTAGTTCTACAGGTCTTCACCAGACTGAAGGTTGTTTTAGTTTGATCTTTGGCTCATTTTAAATGTGCAGAGTATGCATTTAGTGTGTGTCAGTAGCTTTGGTAAGCTATACTTCTAAAGCTGGGCAGTCTGCGACCATGGAGGTTTTGAACGTTAGCATGTGTTTTACATACAGAACAGCTAGTCCATTACAGTAAACGGACTTTATAGTAACAGATGTTATCCCTTTTTGCACCCAAGTGCCTCAGGAGCTTGTATATCTAATAGATCTGAAATGTTACATAACAGGCTTAACACTCACGGACCATTTGCGGGTACAAGGTTTACGTCTGCTTCCATATCAGACCCTTACTTCCTTCTCCTGGGGCTGGCAGGGACACCATGAGACGGCGTTTCCTGTGGCTGCTACGGGGAAGTAACCAGCTGATGTCTGGGTATTTTCGGTATATCTCAGTGAAAACCAGTTTTGAAACCATCTATTTCTGTTGAAGTCTAGCGTGTTGTCTTGATAAAGATCTATTTTGGTGGAAATTTTTCTGGTCCGGGGCCTTGAACAACTCCTCCACAAGTAGCAACTATTTTGCTGGCGACTGTGTACAGTATCTCCACATAGCAGGAATATGAAGCCACCAGCCAGTTGCTTCCTGTGTTGGGTGCTTTTTCTGTTAGTATGCAAACACCCCTCAGAAAAGACTGCTGTAATAATTTCGCACCTTCTGTTTATTGCTGATAAGAACCTGAAGCCTCTAATCAGGGCTTCTTATTGCATTTAATTCTTCTGTAATTAATAGGTTTTGCCTGATCAGAGACTTGAAGGAGAAAAAAATCCAAGTAAGAATTTCAGGTTTGACCTCGTGGTTTCCCAACTCGCACGTCCCAGCGGAAGGTGCCGCGGGTGTGCTGAGGCAGTCGGTGAGGGCTGATGGGGGGCAAGGCAGCGCGAGAGCTGCACCGTCTTGCATGCATGCCTCTGCAGAGCCCACGGGATGGTGCGTACCGCTGTGCGAGGTCAGAGCCAGACCGAAAGAAGAGCAAGGGTGGTAGCAAAATCTCCAAAAGTTAGTGGAGGTTGAATTAATTGTTGGCTGCTTCCTCTTGTTGTGGTGTAGTAGAAGAAAGAAAATATACTTCCAAAGCTGACTTTTCTTAGAAGTGCAGATGACCCTCAGGTTTTGGATCTGCTCTTAGTGTTCAAGTTTTTCCTTTAAAAAAACCAGCTTGATAAGTTCACTGTTTTTTGTTTGTTTTAATTTAGTGGGATCTTTTGCACATCTTCCCCTTTGGTGGAAAAACTCTACTGCCTTTTGGGGTTTTAGGTGTTGTGCATATTCATTTCTAGTCCACCGCACCCCCCACCCCATTTTGTTTTGCAGTGTTTATTTTAACAGTTTGGTTTTGTTTGAGATTTTTTGGTGAGTTTTTTTGGTTGTTCATTCGTTTAACCATTGATCAGAAAAATGGGTCAGGACAAGAACTGGTGCGATGTATGTTTGTGGTGAAACTTTTCAAGTCAAATGGGGTAAACAAAGTGTATAAAGACCTGAAGTTCCAGCTTAATCTATAGATAGGTTGAGGTACAATGTAGAGAAGAGTTGGGGCATATTTTGGAGTGTAATTGCATGGGTTTCTGTCCCCATTTGCTGACAGTGACATTTGGAGCACATCAATCCGGCTTGTGGTTGAAAGCCAAACCTTTCCAAATGCTGTATCTCGGTAGCAAGATTTACACACCTTTCTTATTTTGACTTGTTAAAGCTGCTGCAGTGCTTAATATAGCAGCTGTGAGTGGGTGAACTAGTTCCCTTTGTCCATTTGAATACAGTGTAGAGGGATTGGAATGTTTGGATGACTTAATATAAAGTAGAAACAGTACTTTGCTGAAACGAAAAAAAGTAATGCTGTCATAAAAATTTTTGACCAAGACATAAGGATGCCTTAATGACATTAAAAATAGATTTTGTCCTGGCCTGTTTCGTAGGTACTTTGTGCCATGGAGGTCCCTGCGTGAGGCTTTAGCATTTCCCATACAGATGGGGTTTTAGGCTTAGCCTAGAAATGCAGAATATAGAATCATATCATAGAATCATACAATGGTTTGGGTCGGAAGGGACCTTAAAGATCATCCAGTTCCACGTCCTGCCATGGGCAGGGACACCTCCCACCAGCCCAGGTTGCCCAAAGCCTCATCCAGCCTGGCCTTGAACCCCTCCAGGGATGGGGCATCCACAGCTTCTCTGGGCAACCTGGGCCACTGCCTCACCCCCCTTACCATGCTTCCTGATGGAGACCTACCTGCCATTGTATGAACAACAGTACAAGAGGTGGAACTTCTCAGAAGCGGACAAACGATCATACCGTAGCAGAAATCTTAGTCTGAGACATGGGGTGGGACTTAAGAAATTCAAACTTGTAACCATTTTGGTATGTACTAGTCTCCAACCTGGCCATTGATTTTTACTGGACCTGAAGCCATTACTTCCAAAGATACCTACTTATTGTTGAATAGGTACAATCCAAGTATGACTCATGAGTGACTAATGCAGAGAGGGAAAAAAAAAGAAGAGTATGGAACAGGTATTCATTCATTTTTGAAAATGCAAAGCTATAGCAGGAGAGAAAGACTGTTTTCTTTCCTACTCATTTACACTTACCACCAAATGATACTGTGGGTAATAGACAAAGGGGAAATTTTTTTTAATTTTAGTTGTTGGGGTTTTTTTTTCTTACAGGAAAAGATGCACAAGCTTTTGGAAGTTTATGAGCGACTTGGTGGTGAAGAGGATATTGTTAACCCAGCCAACGAGCTGATTAAAGAAGGACACATTCAGAAACTTTCAGCAAAGAATGGCACAGCGCAGGATAGGTATTTATTCCTGGTGAGTTTTTTTTGTTACTGTCTTATTTTCAGAGTTGTGTTTTGAAATTGTACATTTTCATCTTCCTAATCTCAAATAAAAAAACTTTCACCAACTGAGCCCAGCCTTCCCTTCCTCTGAGCAGAAGCTTTCTCTTGATGCTTTTTCCTTGAGGATTTCCTTCCTTCTTCCATACTTCTGCCTTTGCTGATGGCTTGTCAGGCCCAAAGGGGTCTTTTCCCATCTACCCCTCCCCTTCAGACACTGCATTTTTGCAAAGTGCCTGAGGAGGTGTGTTTCCAGCTGTACTGCTTTGCTGCGTGAGATGGGCAGCTCTTGCTGATGCTGGGAGAACATCCCTCATTTGCCTTCAAGGCAGACAAATTGGTACCAGAGAGAGTGGGAGAAAGGAGGAGTAACTGGCTGATATATTTCTGTTTGTCCACTTTTTTTTTTTTTTTCCTTAAATCTCTTCTTGAGAACTGCATCTTGGAGTGAAAAAACACCAGGGTCCTAAACTGTAAAAATGCAGGCTCTGTCCAGCATGTAATCCCTCAACCTAAAATTTTCCCTTGTTACAGTTTAACAGCATGGTGCTATACTGTGTGCCAAAACTGAGGCTGATAGGCCAGAAGTTCAGTGTTCGAGAGAAGATGGACATTGCAGGACTGCAGGTTTGCATCTCTTCTTTCCACCTGTTTTAATGCTTCCCCACTCCATAGCATCACATCCCCTCTGAATCAAAAAATGTAGCTATAGATGTATGTAAAAATATCATAAAAATTTCAAATAAAGCTTTGGATCTCTCTTTTTTTTTTTTTTTTTTAATTGTTGTGAGATAATCATCCAAAGGTGGATAAGAAAATGGTGACTCTGCCCGTGCTTTGATTGAAAGCCTTTCCTTTTCACGTAACCGGCTCAGGAGCCACCTTTTCCCTGTACTGCTCTAGGGGGCTGGTTGGCAATACAGATTCATAAGTTTTGTAACAAGACAAGTAATTCTGGTATTCTGCACGATCCTTTAAATTAAGTATTTCAAAGAATTAATATATTTGTAAGTCATTAAAAATGATTGAAAGACAACACGACTAGCTGACGTGTTCTTTTTACAGGTCCAAGAAATTGCCAAGCAAAACGTGGCTCATACATTTTCAATAACAGGAAAAAAGAGATCGCTGGAATTACAAGCCAGGTATGGTGCTTGTTCTGACTTTCAAGGTTTGTGAATATTTATGTAGAAATATATGATATAGAGGATATGGCTCTGCTACTATGACATAGTTTTAAACCAGGAGATGAGCATCAGAGATACGTAACTTACATATGCAAGAGAATACATTGGTCCGAAGTCAGTGCGTTAAAGTGCTGTGTTGATTTGCTCTATTGAATGCTTGTGGTATTTGTAGTAGTGCTTGTAGATTCCACTGTGCTAATAATTCAAGTATTTTTTACATTTGTTTGATAATATTTGAGGTCAATAATTATTAATAATGTTTATAAAATAGTGTATAACAAAGCTTAAATCTTGATGGATATAAAGCTGTGAAGATGTGAATTGAATTTACTGCAAATATTGGAAGTAGAATTATGCTGTTTTCTGTATTTTTCTTTTTTTTTAACAGGTCAGAAGAGGAGAAGAGGGAATGGATTCAGGTTAATACAAAACCATTATGACATGGGTGGAAATCGCCATGCAGTCAGCATCTTCCATTAAGATGATCTTTTGGGGGTTCTGAATGAATGTGGCTGTGTGAGGAAGCTGGGTAGTCCAGGCTGGCAAAGCTGCTTATGGAGAAAGGTGGAGCCCCAGTCAGGGTCCCACTGCTGACCCACTATCTCCAGGCAGTGCACAGGGGCTTCGGGTGGGATCCCATTTCCTGCAGTCCTCAAGCCCAGCGAGGGAAGAGGCTGAGGAGTCAGAGATTAGCCTTGTATATTCTTGCAGTCTGACTTGTAGAGAGGCTGTCTGGTAGCAGTCTTAGTTTTAATCAGTAGTGAGTTTACAACGCCACTCTTAAGTTCTTAAGTTTCAATTTCATTTATGCAAGAGGAAGGGTTTTTTCACTAAAATGATAATCCTAACCTTTTTCTTATGAGAGAATTTTTCCAAGACTCCTTTTGTGACGCTTCTCATCTTTGCTGGAATTTTTGTCTCAGGTCATTCAAGCGACAATTGAAAAGCACAAACAGAACAGTGAGACATTCAGAGCTTTCAACAGCTCTTTTTCTCAAGAGGAGGAGCATCCTCCTGATTCCTCAGTAAGTATGAGTGCTTAATTCTCCTTCTTTGCTATAACAGTTCTACTGGCAGTTAAACCGGGCTTACACAGCTAGCTTTAAAATAGTATAGTCTTGTTCTTGATTTTTATATTATATTATGGTGCAGTCAGTTCCATTTCTCTGGCTCTCAAATGCTTATCAGTCATAGTTACTCAGCCATGCAGGTATGGAATAAATTACCCAGGGTAATTCAGTGCCAGAGACCTATCAGTCATGTTTTCCAGACTAGTGGGTTATTTAGCATAACAGGTGTAATTCTTCAATGTTATGAGTGGTTGGCTGTCTGGAATTATATTTGTGTGCCTGGGCGATTTTGTTCATTACCTTTCCCCATCTCCTGAGAGATGTGTTTTGGGATTATTTCTTTTTTCTTATTTTATTGTTATTTTAAAAGTTTTAAAGAGTTGAAAGGAAATTGATGCATTTTAAAAGGGTCTTAAAAATACTGTCTTATAGATAACAAATATATTTCAGAAAGAATACCCTTCAACTAAATGCGCAAAATATTCTTGGAAGTTTATTCTGTTTCTGTGCAACTGTAATGTATTACTGCGTTGTGTTTGCTAGGAATTTTGGTTTGGTACTACTCATGTGAGGATAATAACAGTATCTCTTCATTCGACTTGAAAATGATGGTGATAACCTTAGCCACAGTCATTTGCTACAACCTAAAGTGGAGAGGGCATAGGAGAGGGAAATTTTTAGGAATTTCGTGCAGAGCTCCCTGTGTGATGGCGATGTTGCTGATCAAACATGGTAGATCTTGGAGCACAGGGAGAGAAGGTTCATTTGCAGAGATTAAACTTGGTGATCTTTTTATCTCCCTCCTCCCTCACCCTTCTAAACTTTTTTTTTTTTGGGCAGGGGTACCTAACCATTTTTGAAACCTTTCTTTTTCCCAGTGGGCTCAGGAGAGATGTTATAAATTCCTTTCCTCCCAGCATTAATCACAGACTGACAGCAGCACAAAGCTCCATAGAGTCTAGGATCCCATTGCTGATAGCAGCCAGCAATGAGCCGTGTTCAGAACATGGTATAGCTTACTGATAATGAACTATTTGGAAAAAATTGGAAAACAAATCCATTTGTGCCTATATTTTAAGTTGGCTGCCTTCAGAGCAAGGATGCTCTGATGGAAAAAAATCTTTTGATAATAAGCAAACTAATAAGCACTCTTCTTTCTATCCAATTAAGACAACAGTGTCTGTTCAACTTCATTACTATTTATTATCTTGCTTTGTAAATTCAGTTTTATTTTGCTGCTGTGTTAATGGTGTAGCCACATGTTTATACTCCACTGGTTCATAAAGTGGAGCAGAGCAGAAGTCTGCTTTATCTCCTGGCTCTGACGTTAATACAGTATGCACCTTAATTTCTTTTATGCTGGAATGCTAACCTGCATTTTTAGGAGATTAGCTTGTCTAGATAATCAGCTTTGAAAACTAATGTCATGGCTAAATGTGGCAGAAATTGCTGTCAGTGAAAAAGAGCTAAAGGTAGTTCTGTAAGGAAAACTGGACAAATACTGAGAGTGTTCTTAGTAGCAATAGTAGCTGCTGCAGGCAGCATCCACCGTACGTATCTCATCATCTTTATGGAATATTGGGCAGCGTGCTTTAGAGGAAAAAATGACAATAATCTTCCTTTTTTGCTCTCATGAGTCAAGAAATAGATATGCGCTCATGGATTCCAGGCTGGATCTGTAACAGCTACTAGAAATTGGACTCTGGTTCCAATAAGCCTGTAGAAAAGTAGCCAAATTGCTTTTCTCCCAGTCTTGGCCATACATTTGATATGTTACAGTTCTTATGATTGATTTTGGTTGCATGACCACTGCATGCCTTTGCACACAAATCTTCCCGTGCTTTTCTTTCCCTGATGACTTACAGAAGCTCACACAAGTGTTAAGGGTTGATCTTTAGCCCATAGTTTGCCTGTCGAAGACTTGCAGTTTCTTTTAGGTGCAGAGAACTGTTATTTGATCTGATTCTTAAGATTATGCTTGTGCAATAATCTACAGCAATTAATAAACTCTCACCTGTCAGGAGGTGAATATTCAGAGAAGTTGCCAGGCAGTCCACTGCAGGGTGACTGTAGCAGTGGTCTTCTAAAGAAGTCATCTTCAGAAAGCTTCAGGGTGCCTTTGTGGCTTAGTTCCTTCAGAAAGAGGACACTTGTTTCACTGTTTTCCATTTTCATCTGCTGCATTTCAAGGCTGTGTGATGGGTATTTTTTTTAAAAGCCACCTAAAAATGTTCTAAGGCAAAAAGGATCTCTTTTACCACTGCTTGATCTCAGGAGAGTTGGAGGCTGGTGGTGTGGGGGAAGGACCCAGTTTGTGCGTTGTTAGAAGGCTATCAAGGAGAAGTGCCGCAGAGAGCTGTGCCCTCCCTGAGATTTGAGAGCTGCGAGTGTTTCTGGTAGTTAGATCGTGATTTTTAGATCTTGTTAAATCATTGCCGTCTCCCAGCCCCGTTTCTGTTCCTCCCCCTAGCTCTGGGGCACATCTGACAAACATGTGCACAACTGTCTTCCCCCGTACCGAATCTTATACACTTTGAACAGTGATGGTCGGGGGCAGGGGGGAGAAGCACTTTTGAAATCTTTTCCAGGTTAAGACTAGAGATTATTTGATTTTTAGAACATTATTCCAAATAAAAGGATATGGGGATCTGAACAGGCAGCTAGAGAAATTTACTCTTTTCCCTAAACTTGCTGGGTGTTTTCTCACTCTCTCCTTCAGACCCCGTTTTCTCTCCACATTTTTCATTTCCTTTCCTAAGTCCCGTGTCGCAGCGCACAGATGGCCTTTTACAAGGCAGGGGGATCTAAATACCTGGGTTGATTCCAGTGGAGAGAAACACCTTTCCATGGGACTGGGGAATAGGTGATGGGAAGACCCCAGCGTTGCTGGATTTTCAGAGAGGCAGAAATAGTCAGCTGGAGTTGAGTCCATGATGCTTCCCTTTAAGTTGAGTTCCCTAAGGAAGTGCTCTGGGGGTGGCACAGCCCTAGCCCCAGGGGATGCTTTTGCTTGGCTGCTTATTCTCAAGAGTCAATTGATGGCATTAGTATATAAATAGATAGAATTCAGTATCAGAATGAATAGCTCTTCAGTTTGGCTGCTTACTCAAAGCTACAGTTCATGTTGTTTCTAATAAAAGATTAAACCTTTTTGCTTTCAAATGGAATGAAGCTAGAGTGCAAAAATGCACTGGAGATTTGGATAACCTTGAAATAGGAGATGTTCTCTAATTGGCAAAGAAAGAATGATCTAGGGGAATAACAGGATAATATTTTGAGAGTCCCCCTGTAAACTAGCAAACTCCCTGTAAATTAATGACAGATGAGATGGTTTTCCTTTTAGGATGTAGCCTATGATTTTGGTGTGCATAAGCTTGTTATTTGCCCTCTATATGTATTGAATAGATGTTCAATATGTATTGAATACATATAGATGCCAGTTTGTGTTTATTAAGAGATTAAGAAATGTATTGCAATTAAGAAAAGCTTAACTGAGTACTATCTGAATGGAGTAAATATTCTTCCCCCGCAGAATCCATCAACTACACAAAGCACTTGCTCGTTTGCCTTGCAGGGCTCACATGGAGCGGTGTAATTCAAAACCTGCTGGTTTGCTTTCTGCAGCATGAAGGGGGACAGGCAGACACTGCGGTGCAAAAGTCACCCACTTCATAGTCAACCCACTGTTTGAGAGTGGCTGAGTACATCTGCTATTAAAATGTATTCACAAGCAAATAATTGAGGGGCTAAAAGCAAATGATGCCATGTTTTCTTTATCAGCATTTAATATATTTTAGGAAGAATGTCCGTGTTGAAATAGTTGTGTGTGTCATTCTGTTTCCCTCAGATAGCAAGCACCAGCTCGGTGGAATCGATGCCAGGAGCAGATGGTGGCGGTGCATTTGGAGGGGTAAGTGATTCGAAGCTAATACTTCCAGCAGAGGAAAGCAGGGGGGGGTATAGGGGGCAGCGGTTATGTTTCTTTTGTAGCAGGAAAAAAAATCAGAGCCCCTTCAGTATGTGGGTTTATATTCTGCTGTCTGTTGCTGCAGCTGTCCTGTCTGTAACTTCTTGGCTGAGTTACACCCACAGCTACGCGCAGAGTTCGCAGCATCAGTGAATGTAAATCCTCCTGTTGCAGATCCATGCTGCACATGTGTGTGAACCTCATTGCAGGAAGCTG